TTCGAATCGAACAGAATAAACATTTCCATGATCTGCATTAACTAAATGTGCTAATTTATTCTTTGGATCACGTAAATCATAAACAGATGCATTTTGTCCCATTGTTCCAACAGCAACTAATGAACCATTTGGATGAAAATCAACACTTGTTAATGGAGCATAAATACTTATTGTTGATAAGATTCTTTCAAATTCAAAATTATTTCAATGAGACAAAAAAAGAAAGGAAAATCTTATTGAAATTTACTTTTGTTGAACAACGTCGAAACAACAGAGTGATCCATCCATTCCTGATGTCACAAGAAATGCATCATGATGAGGAGAAAATGCTAAATCAGTTGCTGGAGCTTTATGTGAATGAATTGAAATAATTAATTCTTTCAAACGATAATTCCATAACGACAATAAACCATCATTCGATGTTGTACCAAGTAATTCTTTATGTGGTGACCACTTTATTGATGATATTGCACCTAACTAAAAGAAGATTCTCAATGATTTCCATGTTTTTTAATTTCAGCAGTCAGTTTACTTTATTTCCATGTTTCATTGTAAATGCTGAAAAACTTTGCTTTGTTAATTGATTATAGAGAAAAACATTTCCTTTTCGCGTTCCACAAGCTACATATGAATCTCCATTGCCCCAACAAATACATTCCATTGGTGATTGATCGACGCTCTACGAAACGAATTCCTCAGTAAAACTATGGAATTTTCTCTTCTTACATTGAATGTTTGTGAAATTCTTCCTGAATTAACATCCCAAAGTTGTGCTTGACAATCTTCATTAGTTATTCCAAGATATTTTCCCGATGTACTAAACGAACACCATTGAGCTTTAGTCTAAAAGTAAATCAATTTGTCGATCAATCTTAACAAAATCAATTGTTCGAATACCGTTGAAAGTTCGACTGATTTATTTTTTTGAATATCATATAATTGAACACGTCCTGTTTGTCGATAGGTAAATACGAGATAATTTGCTAAAAGAAAATTTCATCTCAAAAACAAATCAATGAAAATTCTTGTTTACAATTATCCTTTTTCCAATCGACTGATTTGATTGTATCTGTTGATGGAACATGATCATGACCAAATTCATTAACAAGTGAATAATCTTGATTATTCCATAATTGTAAAATAGTACTACATGTTGCTAACATTTTTTCTTTCAATATTAATTGATCTTTTGATCTCAAAATCTATTCGATAGACTTTCAAATGAAAGTGCAGAAAAGGATTCATTCGATCATCATTCAGCTGTTAGAGGAAAAGATTGGCCATTACAAATTCATCGATGACGACTGATAGATGTCACTGACAATTATGAAGAGTTGACAAAAAATTCAAGCTGTCTTCCTTGTACATTTTCGCAATTTATTTATTCTCTCTCTTAGCTCCGTTATGTTTCAAATTTTGTCATTATTTTTCCTTTGATGTAGAATGAAACACTTGCATTTAGATAAATAAGTTCGTAGTTACGTGATTTGATGTCTACTAGAGTATAGGGGAATTATCAGTGTGAAGCTAGCACGAAGGAGCTAGCACGAACAAACGATATGTTAGGTAAAAACTTTTTTACTAAGTATTTCCCGTCCATGAGAACTACACCATTCAACTCAGAATTTAATTCTGCATCGAATGGTGGCATTTTTATTCACCGGACAAACTTTGGAAAATTTTCTATTTATATCTTTGTTCGTTTCCTTTATGTCTATTTATAATCCAGATAGAATTTTTCCAAAGTTTGTCCGGTGAATAGAAGTGCCACCATTCGATGCAGAATTAAATTCTGAGTCGAATGGTGTAGTTCTCATGGACGGGACATATTTAGTAAAAAAGTTTTTACCTAACATATCGTTTGTTCGTGCTAGCTCCTTCGTGCTAGCTTCACANTCATTATATCGATCCAACACTTCTTTTCTAAAAAACAAAACAAACAATTCATTCTTCTTTTACTAAACTTTTCTTACTTTACACAATTTGACGAACACATCTACGAGTTTTCAATTACAAATATCAATTCGATAAGAAATCTAAAACAACAATTCAATTTCAGTTCATTTTAAGGTCAAAGAAAAACAAAGAAACAAAACAACATATTCAACCAATAAACTTCATTATTCTTCTTTTCCCTTTCCGTGTCATATTTTATATTAACACCCACTGTGACTCGAACAGAGAGAGAGACAAGGAAGGAAAAGATTAACACATTTAGATATTCCATATTGATTTGATTAATAACACATTTCTATTCGAAAAGAAATTCTTCTTATCTTCATCTAAAGATATTATTCATTTTTTCACTATTGACAGTTCTTCTATTCTCTTCTTTGAATTCATTGTTTCGATCGTATTTCCCTCGTTTTTCATCTCCGAAAATAACAGAAGATGTCGCTTAGATCTTTTTATTTTTATAAAAATAAGAAGAATATTTTGAAAGATAAATCAGTTTTAGGAAGAAAAAAAGTGCAAATAATGAATTGTTTTTGAAGTTTGAATAGATGTGAAGTCAGTTGTTGGCGAAAGATTGAGTTTATTTAATAGACTGTTCATTGTCACACAACATTTTCGAAAATCTCATAATATTGGACAAATTTGCAACAATATTAACAAATATCCTCGTTATATTAATTTTTGGCTTTAAAATCACGTTTTAAAATAAGTTCAATGTCGGTAGATGAACTGTAACAATAACAAAAACGTTCATTCTATTTGAGTGAATATCAACGAACTGTTTAAAAGTTTAACTTGGACACAATAATCTGTTACATTGAGCTATAATTCTAATCAATCGAGAGTGAATATCATCTATTGATCGTTTGTTTATTCAAAGACAAACATTTTCAAATAGATTTCATTTGAAATTTTTCTTTTTCGTAAAAGTATTGGATGAAAAAAGAATGAGTTTTAATGTGCAATGCTGAAGTGACATCTATGAACCATTTGAAAAGATGTTTAATTGGTCAGTTGAATGAGTGATGACCTTCCCTTTTCTTTTTTCTCTCTCTCCAGCGGTTTTTTTATGTCATTTTCATTTTGATTGAAGAAAAAAAAAGGAGAAATTGTTGATGGATTGGTGCTGGTTTATCTTTCTGTGTTCAATTAGTTTAGCAAAAGCACAATTTAGTGTTTATGATCAAACAATCATTCCATTTAGTATTTATAATGCAGATGGAAATCCCAATAACATTATAACAAACAGTAAATCTTTGTTTTCTTTTTCATTTGAATTGATTTTCTACGATGAAAATCTTTGTTAATTTGTAGTTCGTTGGTGTTGTGTGAATGAACGTGAATATGAGAAATGTTTAACTTGGTCGAATGCATTAACATCATCGAACATAACTCGTTCTTCACTTGCTTGTATTGCTGGTTTGGATAAATTTGATTGTTATCGTAAAATTTTCAACGATGAAGCTGATTTAATGACTGCTGACTCAGGAGAAATTTATACAGCTGGTAGATATTATAATCTTGTTCCAATTGCCAATGAACTTTATTCACCTGTTTACAATGGTAAAGAAACAAAAAGAAAAAAAAACATATTTTGATTGAGAAAATGTTGAATTTAGGTCCAAGTGCAAATACATATTATTCAGTTGCTGTTGTTCGTGCTGGTTCAATGATAAATTTGAATAATTTACAAGGTGCTCGTTCATGTCATTCTTCTGTTGGTTCATCATCAGGATGGAATCAACCAATTTCCCAATTATTACGTGATCGTCGATTGAATATTATTGATTGTAATAATCATGTGAAATCTGCTGCATTATTATTTGGTTCAATGTGTGCACCAGATGCATTAAATCGACAATTTAATCCAACAGGAGATAATCCTTCAACAGTTTGTGATCTTTGTCAAGGTTCAACAGGAAATACATTTTGTACAAATCAAGATCCATATGCAGGAAATATTGGTGCATTGACATGTTTACTCAATCGTGGTGATATCGCTTTTGTTCGTCATACAGCTTTGATTGAATTTCAAGCACGTGATCCATCATTTCCAATGGATCAATTTCAATTATTATGTACAAATGGTCAACGTGTGTCTTGGCAACAATTTCAACAATGTAATTGGGTAAAGATTCTTTCTTTCTTTTTCAAATGAAATCTTTTGTTTTTTTTTAAAAACAGGGTATCGCACCAGCATCAGCAATACTTGTTTCTCATCGTCGTCCAAAACAATTACGTGATATTTATCGAAGACTTTTATCTGATTCGGCAAAATATTTTTCTGCTCAAAACCCAACATTCCAATTATTCAATTCTCAACGTTTTCAAGGAACTGATTTACTTTTTTCCGATGCTACAATTGATTTTAATTTACTTGATGATAAAACTTCTTATACAAATTATCTTGGTAAGTTCGTTTTCTTTTTCTTTCTTTTTTTTCATATTGTGTCACAGATGTTCTTAATTGATCATTTTCACTGAATCACTTTTGATTCTTTTCATAAATTTTCTCTCGAAATTGTAGGTGTGGAATATTTGGCGATGTTATCTCGTTTATACGAATGTCCATTACGTGTTTTACGTTGGTGTGTTTTATCTTCTTATGAAAAAGAGAAATGTCGTTTAATGAAAAATGCTTTTGCACGAAAAAACATCAAACCTGATGTTGATTGTGTTTCAGCTAAAAATGCCATGGAATGTATGTCGAAGATTCGCCAAGGAATTGCTGATATTATTACATTGGATGCTGCGGATGCATATCGTGCTCAACGTTATTATCAATTAGTTCCATTAGCAGCAGAAGATTATGGTGTTGATATGGAATCCAATGTAATGTATGCAGTTGCTGTTGCTAAACGAACAGATTTAACAACAAATTTATGGAATTTACGTGGTAAAACAATCTGTTCAACTGCAATGGGAGATTTAGCTGGTTGGCATGTTCCTGTAGATTATTTAAGTGCTATTAAAGAAACTTATGTGACAAATTGTCATATCAATAAAGTTGCCGGTTTGTTTGGTTTTCTTTTCTTTGAAAAGAAATAAATTGAATTTCTTTGAAGGAGAATATTTTGGACGAAGTTGTGTTCCAGGTGCATTGGATTATGATTATAATCGATTAAAAACAAATCCACGAGCTCTATGTTTGAAATGTTATTCCAAAGGATCAGATTATTGTTCGCGTTCACAACGTGAAATGTTCTATGGAAGTTCAGGAGCATTTCGTTGTTTAACTGAAGGTAAAATCATTTTTTGAGCAATCAAATGAAATTTCATCTTTTTTCAAATAAAAAAAAGGAACTGGTGGTCATGTTGCTTTTGTAATGCACACAGCTGTTATTTCAAATACAGATGGAAGAAATGTTGATCAATGGGCACGTCCATTACGTGCAATTGATTTCGAATTATTATGTAAAAATGGAACAAGAAAAACAATTGAAGCTTATAAAAGTTGTCATATGCTCAAAGTTCCTGCAAGAGTTTTAATGACTTCAAGTTTGTTATTTCATTTTATTTCTTTTTCTTTTTGGATTTTCTCTTTTAGCTTTATTACCTGATTTGGATAAACTTTATATTTGGAATATGCTTAATTTTGCTCAACAATTATTTGGATCTGATACGTAAGAATTCAATTAGATGAAGAAACAAAAAGACGTTTGTCTCTTTTCTTTAGAAATAAAGATTTTACAATGTTTGATTCATTTTATGAACATCCTGATTTGATATTTTATGATGCAACAGTGCAATTAACACGTTTAACTATATCACTTGATGATTATCTTGGTCCAGATATAATTCAATTATTACTTCGTACAGATCCACGAATGTGTAATTTCGCTTCATTTTCTTCTTTGTCTTTTTCACTTCTCATTTTCTTAATCATTTTTTATATTTTCTCAAATTCATTCAATCAAATTTAGATGAATCTCTTGTATAGAAACAAAAAAAAAAGATTTCAAAACATTCCACTTGCTTCTTTTTCTTTTTGACAAGAATTGAATAATCCATCTTCTTTTTTTTCCATTTGTTTGTTTTTTTTCTTCTTCTTCATTTATTGTAAATTAGTATTCATATCATATTCGCTTGTTTTTTTTTGTCTTCTTTTACCAAACATTCCGTCGATTAACTTCGTGTCTCTTTTTTTATACTTTTGATTTCTTTTTTCACAAAATCAATCCTATGTAATCTGCATTGGTAGAATATCTTTCTATTCTAGATTTATTTAAATATGTGAATCAAATGAAATCTTTATTGGAAACGAAATCAATTGAAATTGATCAAAATAAAAAGATTTGCTCGTTGAAATTTGCATTTTAGATGAAAAATTCTTTTTGTTAATTGGAAGTTTTTTTTAAACAAGGTGGAAATTTGGGAAAAGCTTTACATAAATGTGTTTGAAATGAATGACAATCAATTTGTTCAGGTTGAACATTGATTTTCTTTTTTCCACATGTTGAATAAGTTGTTTTTAGATTATTTAATAATTGTTGACATTTCTTTTCTTTATTATGTCGAAGACAATAATCACCACGTGTTCGTAATTCTTCAGGATCAACAGGAACTTTAACGAATTCGTTATCAGGTAATTTATCCAAATGAGACATTGTTGTCAACATCGTCGTTGTTGTTGTTGTTGGAGTGGGAGAAGAAGATTTTGGTTTGTTGAGTTTTGTTGAAAGAGTTGATTTCGTTGTTGAAACTTTCTTTTTCGTTATTTTTCGTTTTGTTGTAGAAATTGTAGAAGATTTGAGTGTTGTTTGAGAACATGTGGATGGGAAAATGTTACATAATTTGATTTGAACTTCTTTACAAAGAAGAAGTTGAGATGATGTTGTAATTGATTGACATTTTTGAATTAATTGGAAAAATTTCGATTTCAATTGTGAACATTCGATACTTGAAGGATCTCGTTGACATTGTTCACGTAATGGACGATATTTTTCATAATCATTACTTAAACAAATATTAATTAACACAAAAAATACCAACAAACCAATTGTTTTCATTTTCGAAAAAAAAACTAAGTCAAAGTATTTTATTTGTTTCTTTTTTTTGTATTTAAAGATGAATTATCTCAAAGAGATTAAAAATTAATCGATGAAATTTGATTCGAGAAATAAATATGAAATTTGATTATTTTAGATAAAAAACAAAAGAAAATTTATCACGAAAGATCGATTTTTTTTTGTATGTCAAATTTCATTGAAATCAATGAGAATATCTTCATCAAGTGAATTTCTTTCAAAAGATATGAAAGAATCCAATGAAAAACATTCGAACAAATCTTCTGTATTTTCAATTCCAAAACGTGTTATCGTAGCCATTTTAACATCATTTGGTTTACTCATTTCAACTGTTATTCAAACAAATTTTGCAATTACAAATTCCTTAATTCTTAATCCACTCAATTCGAAAGATATTTCTATTGATGATGACAATGATCAAACAACAAATACAGTTACATTTCTTTGTCTTTCTCTTTGTCTTTTTTCATTCAATTTCCTTTTTTAGACATTGAAATTAAGTTGGACATCAGTTGAATTAGGTTATCTCAATTCCATATTTTATCTTGGATATATTTTATCACATATGCCAGCTGGTTTTCTTGTTCATCAATATTCAGCTATCAAGTAACAAACTCATTCGATATATCACTAACAGATTTGTTCATCAATGAAATCTTTGTTTAGAATATTTTTATTTCCATTATTATTATTATTTATATTGAATTTATTGATGCCAATCACAATCAGTACAATTACATCAGCATTTAAAATAAATTATTATTTAACAGCACTTGTGAGATTAATTCAAGGACTTTGTGCAGTAAGATTTCAATTGATTTTTCAAATATGAGAAAAAGAAAAGAAAAAACTTTCTTCAAAGGGTTGCGCATTTCCTGCATCACATGGAATTGTTGCTAATTGGTGTCCACCAAGTGAAAGAGGAAGAATGGGTGGTTTTATTTATTCAGGTCTTTATGCAGGTCCAGTTGTCGGGTTTTTCTTAGGAGGAATTCTTGCTAAATATTCTGGACATTATTCCATTTATTATGCATCAGGTAAAACAAAATCAAATCAAATCATTTTATTTTCATTTGTTTCTTTTTTTATTTTGATTAAAGTTCTTATTTTCTCTTTGGAAAGCTGATTTTTGTTCGGGGTGGGTTTTGACATTTATTCTAACGCTTTAGTTTTCTCTTCTCTTTGAAAATATTTCAATGAAATTCTTTTCATTTAGCTATTCTTGGTTTATTTTGGTCATTTGTATTTGCTTATTTAATGTATGAAAAGCCTAATGAACATCCAAATATATCTGAAGAGGAATTAATTTATATTGAAAAAAGTATTGCTGAAGTCAAATCTTTATTTGATGAAAATGAAACGAATGAAATGAGTCAAATTCCTTGGAAATCAATTTTAACATCGTTACCTGTTTGGGCCATTTGTTGTGCACATTTTGCACGTGGTTGGACATTTTATTTATTATTAACAAATCAACCAGCATTTTTAAATGCTTTTGGATTTGGTGTGACAGAAAATGGAACATTTGGTTCATTACCACATATTATGAAAGTTATTGTTGCTCTTTCAAGTGGATTTATTGCAGATTTTATGAGATTAAATCTTTTTTGGTCAACAACAAATGTCAGAAAAATAATGACTTGTACTGGTAAAAGAAATTTCTTTTCTTTTTTGCAAATTTTCAAGAAAATCTTTTTGTTTTTCTTTTCAAGGATATTTAATTGAAGGAACATGTCTTTTTGCAATGTGTCATGTAACAAATTCTTATCTTGGAATTGCATTACTTACATTTGGTGTTGGTTCAAGTGGTTTAATGGTTTCTGGTTGGCATTTAAATCATCAAGATTTAGCTCCACGTTATGCATCAGTTTTAGCTGGTTTTACTGCTGTTATTGGAACATCAGCAGGAATTCTTAGTCCAATTCTCGCTGGTCTTCTTACGAAACAACAAGTTTGTCAATCGATTTCATTTTTCAAAGTTGATTCTTTTCTTTTGAAGGATTTAATTGGATGGTGTCGTGTATTTACAATAGCATCATTAATTCTTTATATTTGTGCGATATTTTATATGATATTTGCATCTGGAGAATTACAAAGTTGGGCTACACGAAATCAACGTGAACAGAAATTACGATTAAATTCCGAGAAATTGCCACCTTTACTTTCTTCATTGGAACAAAATATTCAAGATGAAAATCAATTGAAAAAACAAGAGAAATTCTTTCAACAATCAATTGTTAATGGGCAACATTGAAATCGATTTTTTCTCTTTTAACCGGTGATTTGGTCTTTCTTCTTTTCTTTTCCTTCTCATCGAACGAATTTCTCTTTTTTCTTCTTCTCGTCTTGTCAAATTTAATTTTTTGGTGGATTTATGACAATCAAATCTTTTCATTTATGAAAATAAAACATCTAAAGGGCTTTTCTTCTCATTTCTGTTTACGAAAAAATATCCTATTCATATTCAGATATTTATTTACGATCATTTTCAGAAAAGATTCGCGAAAAAAAATGTTAATTCGTGAAGAAAATTCGATAATGTTCATTTTCATCGAAACATCGAATTCGTTGAAAACACGAAGATATTTGATGAATTTCATGTAAATCACCGATTCGTTGTGATTTGTCGAGATTTTCTTTGAAATAACAACTAAAATACGATAAATTCGGTAATTTTGTCGGTAAATGTTGAATGAATTGAAGAAATGAGGATTGACAATTGGTTTGTAAATAAAATCGACGAAGATTTGGAAGAAAATGAAGAAAACTGAAAATGACATCAGTTGATAAAATTTGTAAATCACTGAATAAAGTTAATCGCGGAAGAAAATATGTTGAATTACTTGGTGAAATAGGTAAATATGGAAGAAAATGATCTAAAATATGAAATTGAAGATGATTTAAATTGGGAAATAAAGATAAAATTTGAGAAAATAACATTAAATTATGTGAACGAATTGAAAGATATTCAATTGAGAGAAAAGAATGTTTTATTGAAAATGTTTCGATTCGATTTAAAGTTAAATGACGAAGATGAACTGATTTCGAAGAAAAGATTTCATTTAAGAATTTTCTTGAACATTTACGATTGATTTCACATTGAAGTTTTAAATTTTGTAAATTTGGAAAAATTTCATAAAATTTTTCGTGAAAATTCTTTTCATTTTCGATTATTAAAGATTTGATATTGAAATTTGTTTCGAAATGAAATAAATTTTTGATAATTAAATGAGAAATTTGATTTGGAAATAATTTTAATAAATGAAAATCTTTGTTTCCATTTAAAATTAATGTTTGATTGGAAAGAGAGAAAATTAAATGATTAAATCGAGAATTTAAATGAAAGAATGTTTGAGAAATTTGTTGAAATGTTAAATAATCAAATATTTCATAAAATAATTCATTTGATAAATCTTCGAAAAGAGTTTTATGAAAAAATTCTCTTTGAAATGAATTTCTTGTTATTTGATTTGAATAAAATTTTGTAATTGAAAATTGTAAATCAATTGATGGATGAATTCCCCATCCGGATAATGAACAAATCTCATTTCGTTTATTCAAATATTGAATTTCTCTTGCAAACAAATTCCAATCAATCATTTTCTTTGTTTCTGTTTGACAAATTTCTTCGAATGGAATCAGAATGAAATGCCATAATGGAATCGATTCAAATTCACCACGAATTAAATACAAAATTTCATTCGAATTTCGTTTTGTTAACAGAACTTTTATTTCATTTTGACAATTCAACAAGATTTCCTTAATGAAACAACATCAGTTTGTCTCTCATTTTTACAAAAATCATTTGTTTTACTTTGAATTTTCCATAAAATTTCGCCATAAAAGAAAAAGAAACTTTCTTCTTTCTTTCCACACGGTTTGGACTTTTTCGTGAAATGACAAAGATTTCATTTATCTTTTTCTTCTTTTCATTTTTCTTATCATCGAACAATAACAACATGTTATTTAACCTTGATTTATCTTTTGATAAAAAGAGAAAAATATTCAACAATAAAACATTATTCAATGAATCAACCTTGAACAATAATCTTCATCTAAACATCAAATCTTCTATTACAAAGGAACCTTTTGCATTTCGTCTTTTGTCTTTTTCTATACAAAACATATTTGAGAAGAATTTCTTATGAAAAGATATTTTAAAATCAAATCTTATTGGACAAATAACATTGAAATACATCTTGTGATATGAAGATACAATTATTGATCCATCAAATATCTTAAATATGAATGGGATTTGAAAATCTTTCAATAAATATCATTCATCTTTATCAAAAACAAACTCTGCACTTTTAATAAATTCATGTCTGTTGGATTATCGAATTCTTTGGACCTAAGTTATTAGATTCAAGTGAGAATTCTTAGATGATAACTTCACATTTAACTTTCTTTTATGGTGATTTAATTGATCAAAAGAATATTTTAAATCAATTATTTGTATGGGAATTGTTTTTGTCCAATGGGTTTTTCATTTGCATTTGATCCACCTACTTACTTGTTCAGCTTTTGGATCATTTGAAGATTTACCATTAAGATTTGAACAATGTTTAGATGAATTTTCTAGTCCAACTTATGTAACTTATCAAGAAACATTTGCAATTATAACAGATCTCCTTTAATTTCAAGTTCTTTTCTTTTTCTTTAAAGATTTAAGAAGAAATAAATAATTTTCTTTATTGAAATTTCTCTTGATTAGTTGTTTAGTTAACATGGACTGTAATTGGAGATATTCGTGGTCATACATCAGTATCTGATGCTTCTACTCGTCCGATTATTGGTTTAGTTGAAACAACATTAACATGTGATTTGATTCAACCTGGATTTATTTTATTATTTTATATTCTACTTGATGTCGCTGTTATTCATGGTTGTGATAAGATTTGCATTTTAAGTGAAAAATTTTCATTAGAAATGAAATTTCGATGGATTATTTGCAAAATTATCGAACAGTTCGAGTGGAACTGAGGGAACTTTTGATGATCATCCAGTTCAACTTTGGTATCGAATTGCAAAAATTTCTTTTTTTCTCAATTGAAGAACAATTACGAAGACTCGATTGGATTGATAAATGGCAAAGTTTTTTTTCCTTTTCTAATCAAAACTGATTTCAATGTTCATTTCATTCATGATGAAAAATGGAATATTGCAGAAAAAAAACTCGCCGAGGAACAATATCAACTGTTCTCGCTCTGAACAGAAATGAATTTCCATCATAGTCAAATCACAAACGACGAAGTTTTCATCGATGAAAAACTGATATTTTAAACAATCAAAATATTCCCAATGTATAAATAAAAGAAGAAATTCTTGTTTGATAGGATTACTGTCAACACTTGTTTATTTATATCATCAAGATTATGTGATAAAAAAGAAATTTATGAAAACATTGAATTGTGTAAATCATCTAAATCGAGTTTTCTTTCTTTTGTTCGTCGTTTTTGTTTTTTATATTCTTCATAATCTTGATCATCTGTTGGTAATTCAATTCGACACATTGGACACGTATTTACTAATTGAAGCCATTGTTTTATACAATTCTCACAAAATTTATGATAACACGGTAATTCTTTTGTTGAATCTTTTTCAAATTCTTTTAAACAAATAGAACATTTTTCATCACGATTAAATTCATTTGTTGATCGTAAATTTTCAATGACAGATTTGGATGCTCGAGGTTGTTCTCGACCACCAACATCACCAAAAATACGTTCAAATTCAAGTTGAAATTCAGCCCCAAGACCACTATCCAATAGTAAACGAGCTAAATGAAGTAAATGATCTGGTTGTTCATCGATTCCCAATGGTTCACAATTATGTTCATCAAAATAAGAAGCCATTTTCTTTTTTAATAAGAATGAAGAATGAAGAAATTAAATAACATACAGAACAATCATATCCAATCAACGATTTCGACTATGTACGACATCTTTTGGAAAAGATCATTATAATTATATTTCAAGAAAAAATATCCGAAAGAAATTTCGAGTCAAAGGTGATATTTTCACTCTCAACAAATTGTATAACGATGTATGAAATGTTTTGTTTATTGAAATAATTCTTTATCAATGATTTTTGCTCATATTATTATCTTCTTCTCAATCGAATTGTTCTCCCATGAAGATGTTTTTCAACGATTTCAATTAAATAATTTAGTCTTTCATAAGAATAATTGTCTATTGTCTTGATATTCCAGAGAATCCCAAAGAATGTTCGCAAAAAAAGAAAGCACGAAGAGGAAAGAGAAACAAGTTGATGAGTAATCGAAACACGATATGCATAACAATGATTTCGCATGTGAATAAGAAATATTATCGGAGTATTCGAGTGTTATTTTTTCTTTGGATAATCAATGTTAATTGGAAAATATTTGGGATTCGAAGAATATGAAAATGAAAATGGAAAGAAAATTAGTATTGAAGACCAAGAAGATGCTTTGTTACGAATCTTTCATTTAGCTGGTTATTTTCATTTAACGAAGATTTGGAAGGATTGGAATTCAATGGGATTTTTTGAAAATCTTCAAGAAATCTTTGAAAAAATTTCTTTCATTATCAAATGTTCAAATGCAAATCATAATGATCCAAATGAATTTAATGTGAAATATTTTCGGGAAAATGTTTTTGAAAAATCTCTTTTAAATGATGAAGATTGTTTAGATTGGATTTTGTATCTTTCTCAACATGCTTTTGGACGATCAATTGGACAAGAAAGATATGAAATGAAATCATTACATTGGATTCATCAGAACGAACATTATTTTATCGAACAAGTTCGTTTATTACGTCTTGTTGATCGTCAATGTCCGATTTTAAAGCAATTTGATCAATGTTGGATTGCAGGAGCATCAAGATTATCTTTATCACAAAGAATTCTCGATTATAAATATCAAATTTTATCGAAAAATATTCAAATCAATGGACAAACATTGATCTTAGCAGGAGAAAGAGAATTATGGGCGAATATCGATGGAATTTCACCGAAAATATCCGAAGAATTATTTCAAATCTCAAAAAATCATCTCGATATCAATCAAATCGATTTTTCATCAATCGAAACAACCGATTCGGAAATAATTCAAGAAGGAAAAGAATATTTATTAAATTTATCAAGAATTCATGGGATAGAATTGAATTCTTCTCAACCATTTATTGAATATCAAACAAAAGATCAATGTTCAAATGATCGTTTTCCCAATCGAATTTATTTAAATTATGAAAATTCTCAAAAGAAATTAACTGAAACTCTTCTTTCCGAAGATTTGATTAAAACTTATTTAGAAGAAACTTTTTCTTCAATCGAAATTGTCGATACTTCAGCAAATGAACAAATTCGACCAAATACGGCATCAACTGCTCAAGATGCAACAGAAAAATTCATTCAACAAATTTTCAATGGAGATTTTCGAGAAAAAAAGCTTTTTCATATTTTACTTTGGTCAAATAATCCTTCAATTGAAAGACAAACTTTAGTTACACAAAGAAAAGTCAATTCCATTTTAGAAAAATCGAATTTAATTGAAAATAATTATAAAATTTCTATTCATGGAATTGGATGTTCATCAAATGTTAATTTAGAAATTGTTCATTCAGAATTAGGTGCTTTAATTACAGAAAAATATCTTTGGCTTTTCGAACAACAAAAAAAACAAGGTGAAATCAAAAAGAAAAGAAATATTAATGATTTATTATTTCAAACACGAAAATGAACTTTGATGATTCATTTTCATTTCATCGAATTTCAATTATTTCTTATTTTTTAATTAAACTTCATTAAATAATCAATAAAATCTTTTTTTTTTCAATCAAATTTATTTCATATTCAATCTATCGTGATAACATTGTGTCTATTTCGTTTCCGAATTTACATACAAAGTTTTTGTCGAATCGATGTTTTTTATTCGAAATGAAAAAGAAGAAAAGCGAATTTCGATGTATGAAAATGTAGATTTATTCTGATTTAACCTAAAAATTAAAAAAAAGTACATCTCCATCTGTTTCTTTCTTCGATAAACAAAACTTTGTTTAATGAGAGTAACACTTACACAGAGTGTTTTGGATGAATAGTAACATCAGATTTCTCTTCTTTTTTCAGTTCGAAAAGTTTTTTGTTGTTTATTCTACGGAGTGAAACACTTGAAATGGAATAAGAAGAAAAAAAAGGAACTCACAGTCATGATTTTTGTTCGAAAATACAATAAAATCATTCGATGCTTTTCTTCAACTTCCCAAAACTGAAAAAAACCTCTTCTCTTGTTTCTATAGGATTAGATTTAAATACCTTGACAATTCATCAGAAATTCAAATAAATTATCTGTGGAAAAGATGATTTCTCCTTCGACTATTCTCTTCTATGTTTTACTCTTCATGTAAGTAATTAAATACAAATCATCTTTAATCTTCGATTTTCTTCTTCTTCTTTTAGAAATCTTTGTGAAGCACAACAATGTAATGATTAAAGAATATTTTCTTTTGTTTTTCTTCTTTAAAACTAATTCAAATGATATTTTTTAGTGAATTCTTCATTGATATCACGATGTAATTATCCATCATGCAGTTCTCGACGTATTTCATGTTCTTCCAATATCGATTGTGAATGTTTTTCTTTAACAACAAATTCAACAAATGGAATTTGTGGATCAGCAACTTTCTCATGTTCAAGTTTTGTTCGATGCAATTCCGATAATAAAACATGTTCCATTGAAAATACAGTTTGTGTCAACAGTACACGATGTGATCAACCTCTCTGTTATCCATTAGCTTTAGCTAATATTTTAATTTGTCCAAAAATGATTACAAGTAAGAATATTACAAATAATTTCTCATCTTTTCTCTCTTCAATTAGCCACAACAACTAAACCCACGACAACAACGACTAAACCAACAACAACAACACCTAAATCAGCAGCTACAACAATGATTAATCGATCTGGTATGACTTCTATGCCATTAAACACAGCACAAACTCAATCGGGTACAAATCCACCGAATATGAGTACAATGATGAATCGTGTTGATATGACTTCAATGGGAGTAAATACAGGAATGCCATCAGGTACGATGATGAATGACGCAAGTATTATGACACGAATTGCATCTGAGACAACAATGATCAATTCACCATCATCATCAACAACAACAACAACAACAACTTCAACAACAAGTAAATAGAAAAAGAAAAGAAAAGAAAAGAAATGAAAATAATTTGATTATGTTTAGCATCATGTCAAGCATTTTCTTCCATGATAACATATTCATGTGGAAATGGACCACAAGGAATTGCTACAGGTGATTTTAATGGTGATAATCAATTAGATATTGTTGTTACAAGTATTTATGATGGTGTTATTAATGTCATATTAAGTAATAATAATGGCGGATATTCTTCACCAATATCATATCGATGTGGAACATCTCCTCAAGGTATTTCAGTAGGTGATATTAATCATGATAATTATTTAGATATTGTTGTTGCTAACGGTGCAAATCATAGTTTAAGTATATTTTTTGGTCAAAATAATGGAACATTTTCTTCTCAAATGGTTTTATTATCTGGTTTAACTCCTTGGCATGTTTCTCTTGATGATTTAAATAATGACACAAATTTAGATATCGTTGTAACAAATGCAGGAAGTAATAATATTGGAATTTATCTTGGTTATGGAAATGGAACATTTATGATTCCACAAACATATTCAACAAATTTTTATCCTGTTGGACTTGCGATTGGAGATTTAAATAACGATGGGAAAAAAGATCTTATTGCAACAAATGCAGGTGATCGAACAATAAGTATTTTTCTCGGATATGGAAATGGAAGTTTTTCAAATCAAATATCTTATACAACTGGTCTTTTTTCTTGGTCAATTGCAATGGGTGATTTAAATAATGATCATTATTTAGATATTGTTTTATCTTATCGTGATAATAATACAATTAGTACATTTCTTGGTAATGGAACTGGTTTATTTACTAAATATGAAACTTATTCAACAGATAGTTATCCATGGAAAGTTTTCATATCTGATTTTAATAATGATCATTTAAATGATTTCGTTGTTGTTAATACGGGAAGTGATGAAATAAGTCTTTTTAATGGAATTGGTAATGGACATTTTTCTTCTCAAATTCGAATACCAACAGGTGAATATCCATTTGGACTTACTGTTAATGATTTTAATCGAGATGGAAAACTTGATCTTATTGTTGCCAATCAAGAAGATGCAAATTTTGGCATTTTTTATAACAATTGTTAATAACTTCACTTTCTTTTTTTTTATGAGATAAAACAATTTCTCTTTTTCAATCATTTTAATAAAACAAATCTTTTCAATTTCTTTTCGAAAATTCAAAATTCTTTAGAAAAACAAAAACAAAGATTTTTCGAAGATAATATCAATGTTTCGACATTCTCTCACGACTTATCTTTTCTCTTATTTATCATTTTACACATAACTATTTGATAAAATTCGCCGTTTTTTGCATTTATTTTCTTTTGTATTATTGTCAAAATATCACAATATTTTATAACCAAAATCAAATGTTGAGATATAAAACATGAAGATTTGACCATAAAACATCATAAAACTTGAAATAGACGATGACTTATTTATTCAATGATCGATTGAAAAATTTCTTTCGAAAATTGTTTTGTATTTTTCCACAAAATCTTTTTCTTTATATTTTTCTTTTGTTAATTCTTATAAATCTTTGTTTAATTCCAATTTATCTTCGAAAAACGACTCATTCATCACTTCGTATGTTTTCACAAATCTTTTCTTTGACATCAAATGAATTTTTCTCATCTGTTTAGAAAATGTTCATATATATGAAAATGTCTTTCGTATAAGTTGGTTCAATGCATCTCCAGATGGTTATGAACGTGAAATTTTAAGTATTAATAACGAAATCTTATGTCCAACAATCATTGTAAATGAAGGTGATTTAATAAATGTAACAATAATAAATGAATCCAATGAAGAAATAACAATACATTGGCATGGATTATATCAAAGAAATACTTTTCATATGGATGGAGTTCCCGGAATAAGTCAATGTTCAATTTTACCAAATCAATCATTTAATTATTTGTTTTCAACAAATAATCAAAGTGGAACATATTGGTATCATTCTCATCATTTAATTCAATATGGTGATGGATTAAAAGGTATTTTCATTATTCAAAATCCAAATGATCCTTTTCAACATTTTTATGATAATGAGGAAATTTTTCAAATAACTGATTGGTATCATATTCCTGTTCATATCTTATTAAATACATATTTAACTGGAACAATTAATGATCCAATACCTGATTGTTTACTTTTCAATGGAATTGGACAATTTAATTGTCATCTTTATGAAAATTGTTCTTTTTATCGTTCAATTATTCAAACAAATTCACGTAAAAGATATCGAATAATCAATACATCAATTTATTCAACAATCACAATAACAATTGATCAACATCAAATGAAATTAATTGAAATGGATGGAATTTATTTAAATGGAAATGAAATTGTTCAATCAATTCGAATAAATCCAGGTCAAAGATATTCATTTCTTCTTCATGGAAATGAAAATTCTTCTCAAAACTATTGGATACGCGTAACAACTCATCCATTTATTCAATTTAATAATCAATATTTACAATCGAATCATTCGACTGTCTATGCTATTCTTCAATATAATTCCAATGAATTTTTACCTTCATTTCATTCTTTACACAATGATTTTCATTTAATTCAACAATCAATTCTGAATGGACAACATTTTGTTGATGAAATCAATTTAATTCCAATGAATTTAACAAAATATGAAATTCCAAAGAAGAAAGTTTTTCAAACAATTATTCTAAATGCACAATTTAAAGGAGGAAATCCAGGTGGAATGTTTTTTAATAATGAAATGTTTATTCATCCAAGAAATACAACATTTTTATCATTAATTCTTCAGAAAAATCAAAGTGAAATTCATTGGCCATCAACAATAACAATCAAAGAAAATGAAATTTATGATATTATCATAAATAATAATGATTATTCATCACATCCATTTCATTTACATGGTCATCATGTTTGGATTTTATCACAAGGAAAATCAAATGAAGGTTTTCTTAATCAAACCCAATATGAAACAATGAATTTCAATCTGAACAATGTCATTTATCGAGATACATTTAGTGTTACTCCTTATTCGTATTTAATATTTCGTTTTTATTCAAATAATCCAGGTATTTGGATGTTACATTGTCATAATGATTGGCATTTACAAATTGGAATGGCTTTTGTTTTTGTTGAATCACCAAAATTAATTCAACAAACTCATTCAAATCTTTCAATACCTGATAAATGTTACAAATAAAACAAATTTACTTCTTTTCTTTTCCAAATTAAATTTATTTTCTTATTTTTTTAGATTTTAAAAAAGGAAAAATTCTTTTTCTTTAGTCACATATTTAACTATTTCGTATCTACAACATTCGATAAATCTTATTATTTGAATTCATAGAAACAATTTCTTATTCTCAATGTTTCAAATCAAAGAATTAAGAAGAGGTTCTATAAAAGATATCGTTCGACTGGATTACAAAGATTAATGAAGACAATTCGTCTATTCGAATTTTTCAATCAATTTACACAAATATTTATTCTTTGTGATTCATAGAAGTCAATTCCATCTTTATATCGATCGTATTTCACATTTATTATTGTCAAATGAGTATTAATGAGCAATTTCATCGAAATATAAATTCAATTGAAATCAGAAGAAATTGCAACATTTGACAAATGATCTCAATGATATTATTGAAACTTCAAATGAAATCACATAGATATTCCGTAGAAGAAGAGAATTTCTATGAAAATGAATTGATTGTATTCAATTTGATTTTCTTTATGAAGATAATTCAAATTTAAATAAAGAAAAAAAAAGATTCAATATCACAAATTGATCCGAATTCTCTGCATAAATTTGTCCATTCAATAAGAAATTCAATACAAATTGGAATTAAACGAAATCAAGAGAAAAAGGAAAACTAAAGAAGATTTTTCATTGAAAATAATATAAAATTCATCAAAGAAATCGAAAAACAAAATCGAAATCATTTGTTTTTCACAAATATGATCAGATATTTCCGTTGATGATCAATTTCATAAAAGAGATAACAACGAATTTATACTTTGATTATTCTGATAGAGAAAACGAGAATACCATGAAGAAAATTCATTCTAATGAAGATTAACTTTGATTTAATTGATTATTTCAATTATTTTTCATTTCTATGAAAACGTGAACGAGATAAAACTGATTTTGAAATGAATTTCATAAGACTAAATAACATAAAAGATATAATAGTGTTATTTNATTTATAAGACTTGTCCTCAATTACATTTCGGAATTCGTTCAAATGAAAATCTTTTTAAAGAAAATCCCAAAGGAATTCTCGGTTTAGCGATTATCGGTGAACATTATCCAATTGAAATCAATGATTATATTCAATTAATTAATTATTTTCAAAATATTCAATGGATTTATTTCGATTCAATTCATATTACAAATCAACATTTACTACCAATTCTTCATCTTTATCCATTAAATTCATTAAAAACATTAATTTATATGCGTTCAACTTTTTGTAAAATTCATCGAGATTTTTTTGAAAAACTATTTTTAAATCAAAACAATTTCAAAACATTGAAAATTATGTATGGAGATTTGATTTATTATTTAAAACAATCGAATGAAATTCCTAATGGAAAACATATTGAAAATCTCGTTTTATTTCTTTGTGGTGCTGATGGACAATTTCGGTTAATTCATTTAAATTATTTCATTTTAACATTTCCTTTATTAAAATCTTTAACAATTGAAATTAATTCGAAAAATTTATTTCGGAAAAATCAATTGGAAATTATTAAAGAAATTCTTCATTCATTTCAATATCTTCAATCATTAAAAATTATTTGTCGAAAAGGAAATTTACATTTTACTTCGTCAATTATTTCAAATCTTTCTCAATCATTCGCATCTTTCAATGTATTTCAATCACATTTTATTCTTCAATCGAAATATTTTGCATTTTGGAAATTCAATTCCAAATCAACAGACAATTTTGCATTTTAACACTCATTTTTGATAAAATAAAAGAGAGAATGAATCTGATTGGTTAATCTATTTAACCATTAGATAATGAAGAACGAAGAAAGAAAGAAAGAGATGAGATAAATAGGTAAAAATGCAAATATTACTTGATTTGAAATCATAGAAAATGTTATCACATAATATTGATAATGAGGGTGATGAGGATTTATTTTTAAAACATCCTGAAACAAAAAAAGAATTATTACATGGACAAACATTTGCATTTGCGGGAATGCAAGGATGGAGAAAATCTAATGAAGATTTTCATAAACATTTAGTTCCAATTAATGAACTACAATGGAAACTTTGGTCATATTTTGCAATTTTTGATGGACATAATGGTTTCTTTCTTTCGTTTTCTCGAATATTCGCATCATTCTTTGCTTTTCGTTTCTTTTTAGGTATTGAAACAGCGAAAAATGCAGCAAATCTTCTTGATAAACATTTGATCGATGCTTTAAATGAATTAATTCATTCAACTCAAATAGATCTTTATCAAATTTCTCAAATTATTAAACATACATTTCTTCAATTGGATAAAGAATTAGTAAATCTTGTCAATGATCAAAGTGGTTCTGTTTGTGTAAGATTTGTCTCTCTTGTTTTTTCTTATTGAATTTGTCTTTAGATTGCAACTTTAATTGGACCTGAACATATTTATTTAATTAATTTAGGTGATTCTCGAGCAATTATTATTTCAAATGATGGAAAAGTCTTAGAATATACAAAAGGTTTGGAGAAGATTTGAAATGTGAAAGAAAACGAAAGGTTTTTCGACTTTATTTTCAGATCATAAACCAAATAATCGAAAAGAAAAAGAACGAATATTAAAAGCAGGTGGACATGTAACACAACACAGTGGTGATGTTGCTCGTGTTGAAGATCAATTAGCTGTTAGTCGTGCATTAGGTGATTATTCTATAGATAAACATTTAATTCCAGCATCACCTGCTATTATTCAATTTGCAAAAAATCCAAATAGTCAAGGTGAATATTTAATTCTTGCGTGTGATGGAATTTGGGATGTGATGTCAAATGAACAAGTTGCTTCATTTATTCTTCAAAGAATTTCATTGAATTCTTCATTAGAAAATATCGCATCACAATTATTAGATCATTGTTTAAAATTACAAACAATGGATAATATGAGTGTTTATATTATTAAAATTTAACAATTTTCATCAACGAACATTTCTTTTTTTCTCTTTTTCTATAACTTATTCAAGCTTTTATTACTCTTTTAGTAAAACAAAACTTATTTCAGCTAAATCTAAATCTACGAAAAAGAAAGAAAGAAAGAAAATATTAATCTTGATCAATAAAATTTATTGAAAGATGATCATCATGAATTGCCTGGGAATTCTTCTCTATATGTTGATGTTTTTTTGAATTGAAATTTTGATAAAACCACGATAAAAGAAAAGATATTGAACAGAAAATCATTGTGATAATTAAAACAGTAAATAAATGTTTTGAACCATAAAACTGAAAAACATAACCAGATATTAAACCAAATACAAATCCACCAAGAGCATTTGATGATAAAAGAAATGCTAATTCAATTGGTGATAAAACTAAATAATGTTTTATCCATCCAATAAATGTTGGTGATATTGTTGAAATCGATAAACCATTTAATATGATTAAAAAATCAACCGTAAATAATGTTATTTGAAAATACCAAAGAAGAATTATCCAAATGATATATGTTAATAAAGAGAAAAATAAGGAAATTGTTAACATTATCTCGGGACTAAATAATGACATTGTTAAATATGTACAAATTATTCGTCCAATTAACATTGAAAACCAATAGAAAATCATCGGATAAACAACGTTATTTTGATCAGAAATTAAATTTTGCTTTTCAAGAAATGAAAGAAAAAATTTGGTAAAACTTTGTTCAATTCCACCTGAAAAATGAAAGATTCGAACAATAATTATTGAAAGTAATGCTCCGATTGGATATCCCAAATAAACACAATTTAATGGAGATGTCGAATCTTCTAACCACATTTTCGTTATTAATGTATTAATTGCTAAAAGAAATCAATTTCGAAACAAATGAAAAGAAGATTCGCAAAATGAAATGAATGAAAAACCTAAATCGGAAATTCCTTGTAACATTCCTTGAGATAATAAAGCCAAACAAAGTGTCCATAATGATGTTAAATGTGGAGTCAATGCTGTTGCTAAAGAAAAAGTTTTGTGATAAAAAGAATATTTGATTTGTTTTACCAAAAGTTGGAAGAAGATAACCAATAGCTAAAAGACTATCCGAATGATATTTTGGAATTGATTGAAAAATAATTCCAAAGAAAACAATTGATAATATAAAACCAAAACTTCTTGCAGCAACAATCCACGATAAATCTCCTAAATTTGTTTGAACTTGTTTACTTAATTGTAACATTGTTGAACCGGAAATTTCCAAATGAAAACCCTGAATGAATCAAAATGAGAGAAAGAAAGAATTTGTGAAGAAAATTCCAATCTTTTTTGTTTTGTTTTTCTCACCATTGTAATGAAACTGAATAAACAAAAGAAAGTGATCAGCAATTTCCATTTGTCTTGGAAATAAAAATTCAAATCTTTTTTTGTTTCATTTTTCTTTGTTTGAGCCATTTCGTTTTTGATGTCAAATGAAAAGTTTGAATTTGATTTGAAAATTCAAAGAAGAAAAGATAAGACACGACATTTTATCTTCTTTTTACATCATCAACAGATATTTTTATCTTATCTTCAAGGGAATTTTTCTCCAAATGTTTTAAAAGAACAAAATTGAAATTCTTTGAACATTTCTCAACAAAATCTTTCTTGTTTTTCTCTCAACACGTGACTTTTTCTTTCTTCTTGGGAGAATTTTCTTCAGTGAAAGAGTTTATTTTTGTTGTTTACATTGAAAGAAAAGAAAATTTCTATTTGATTTTATGAAAAAAAACTTATTATGTTGTTCTTTTCTTTCTTTTTCAGATAAAATGTCGATGAAAGATTTATCAAAAGATTTACAAAGACTTTTTCAAAATCGAATTGATGAAAATCGTTTAATAAAAAAACTTGACGAATTAATCAATGAATATGGAATTCGGCAGATCAATGCATGGAGAAATTTATCCAATGGAACAAAAAATACTTTATTACACGAAGTTATTGAACAAAATTATCCAAATGTTGTCAAACATCTTATCATCAAACATCAATTAAGAACATTTTTTCAAAGAGAATCAGATCATTTAACACCTTTTGAATTGGCATTTACGAAGAAAAATCGTCAAATTTGTGATATTTTAATCGAATTAGGAGATGAAAATACTCTGGAAAATGTTTCTGAAAATATTTCTTTAAAGAAAAGCAAAGATCAAATGATGAATATAATTTGGATGGATTTAGAATTTACTTCATTTGAAAATCCACAAATCTTAGAATGTGCTGTGATTATTACAAATAAAGATTTAAAAGAAATTCAACGAAGTATTTTGAAAAATTTTCATTTGAAAAGAAAAGAAAAGCAACGAATTTGTTTGTTTAATTAACTTTAGAACAATGGATAATTCATTTTGAAAAAGAATTTTTAAATGGATTAAGTCAATGGCATCAAAATGCTTTTAAAGATATTGAAGATGGTGGAAATGGTTTATTTCGAGATGTTTATAATTCGGAAATAAGAAAAGAAGATGTGGAAAAAGAATTATTAGAATTTTTAAAAGAATTTTGTCCTGAAAAGACTTGTCCATTAGCTGGAAGTTCAATTCATTCTGATAAAGCTGTTTTAAAAGTCGAAATGCCATCTGTTTATCATTATCTTCATCATCGTGTTATTGATGTGAGTTCTTTTCAAGAAATTCTTAAACGATGGGCACCAAAAATCAATTCACAATTTTGCAAAGATCTCATTTCAAGTGGAAAAGGAAATGTTAATCATAGAGCAATGGATGATATTCTTTGGTCAATTGAAATGATGAAATTATTTCGACCTTTATTAACAAATAAACAGTTAAGTCGAAATAGATAATTCGTTTTTCTTTATTTAAAAAAAAGATTTTTAGATTTTTAAAAGATAAAGATTCATCGATGAGAATACAAAGAAGAAATCCATCGATGAATTCATCAAGATTTGATCAAACAAAATTCACTGATGAAGAAAAACATTTATTCAAACGAATTGAATTTGAAGAACAAAATTGTGTTGAAGATTTGAATTTAAATGAAGAAGAACAACAGATTTATGTCGAAAATCCTCATTTAAGAGAAGTTTTTCTTAATAACGAACGAATTCTTTTTCATGAAAAAGATTTTCAAATTGAAGATCGTTTATGTTCTCCAATGAAATTTTCCAAACAAATCAATTCACGTGTGATTTCAACAACTGAATTTTGGTCACAACGAAATCTTCTCTTAGGTGAAATCGAATTTTTAACAAAATATTCATCGAAACAAACAAATCTTCTTGTTATTTATTTGGAAAATTCGTCAAATTCTCATTTCAATCATCTTTCACAATTATTTCCACAAATTCAATTTCACGTCTTTCGAACAAAATCCAATGAAATCAAAGAAACAAAACAATTGAAAATTTTTAATGAAATATTTACAAATGAAATTGCATTGAAATATTCTTCCCATTCTTCGTTATTATTCATTTGTAATTTACAAAGATTTGAAAATGATGAAAATATTGATAAAGATACGAAAAATGAAATTCGTTGGATTTCAATTCTGAAACCATTGGCATCTTTTTTAAGATTTTCTTTTCCAAAAACTCATTGTGAAATGTTGGAATTTTATCAAGGAGATCTTTATTGGAATTTATGGTCTTCACCTGAATCAGTTGAATGTCGAATAATGATTGAAAATCTTCCAAAACTTATTTTCTATGATTGGAAACAATTTCAACAAACATTTATTTCTTTTCAACAAAGAAAACGAACAATATTTTATCAACATGATCTTGATCATATTGAAACTGAAGGTTTAGATCATTGTTATGATTGTACAGCAGAAATTTTTATTTTAAAAAATTATTTCACTTCTATTCAACATATTCATGAAAAGAAATCTTTATTTCAATCAATTGCACAATTATCTCATCAAATTTCACTGAATCTTTTCGATAAACATCAATTTCCTTTTCTTAAACAAAAAAGATCTTTAAATATTATCCCAAAAGATTAATTTTTCCTTTTCTTTTATTACAATTCAAATCAACAAACAATTTCTTCGGATTTTTTTTTCTATAAAAGTTTTCCGAGAAATGATTTTCTTAGAAATACAAAATATTTTTTTCATTGAAACTTTTATCTTTTAATTATTCAATTGAATGAACAATAAAATATCATAATCGATCAAATATCTTTTCTTTTTCCTTTTATATTTTCATACAACGATCGTTAAATATGAGAAAAGAAACTTTTTCGGATATTTTTCTTTTTTCTCATTATTAAAAGTTTGATTTATTTGATGAAATTAAGTCAAATTGGACACCCTCACCCACACACCCTCAAAATACACAAAAGTAAACAATGGGAAATTTTCCAATGAAAAAAAAAACGATCTAATTCAAATTCTAATTGAAGTCTCTGATGTTTTCTTCGTTCGCTTCGAAATGTCCCAAAACAAATTTGACGTTCTTAATTGAAATCGATTGACCAAAAAAAGACAAAATCTTTGTCTCATTGTTATTTGATATTGTGAAAAAAGAATACTTTGGAAAATGTAACAACACGCAGGAAAACGAGATTTGGACATGAGACCAACGATTATTGATGTTCCAGTAGCTTTTACATCGTCAAGTATTTCTCAGTTAAAAACAATTTCTTATTCGAATTTCATTTCAAAGAAATATTTTGTTTTTCAGTTCAAATCACATTTGAAGACATTCTTTTGAAAATAATTCGTGAAAATATTTTCTCTACCTGAAGATAAAACGTGAGAAAATGTCGAAGAGAAAGTTATTCGAGGGGTTAGAAAATTCTTTTGTTAACCTCAATCTCAGCGAAAAACTTTTTCTTCATTTTTAAGATAAAAAACCTCTTTTCGACAATAAAACGTTGAAGAAAAAAGAAAGAAAGAGAATAAATATCATTTTCTATGATATACATATGCGTAACCTTGACATGTGCATCAGTTTCTCCTTCGGTCTAAACGATATTACATAAGAAAAAAAAAAGGAAAAGAAGAAAAAAGAAACGATATAGAACATAACGTGCAAGTATTCATCAATTATTTCTCAAGACTCTTCTTCTTCTTCTTTAACTGAATCCAAAATGGTTTTTTTTCCTAAAGAAAAAGAGAAAATATTCCATTTCAGATCGTAAGTAAAGAAGAACAATGTCGAATGAAAGTGGTTTAAAACTTTATACATCCCATCCATGGGAATTAATAAAGACAATTTATTTAGTTTTAACATGGATTGTTTTGGTTTGTTGAAATTTCTTATTCAATGAAATCTTGAATTTTTCTATTGTTTTCAAAATGTTAGGGAATGCATTTGGAAATTGTTGGACCGACATTACAAATCTTAGCAGGACAAACAAATGTTGATACAACTGGAATAAGTACAATATTAGTTATACGTGGTGCTGGATATATGTTTGGAAATATTATCGGAGCATTAACACAGAAAATAGCGAAAAAATATCCAGAATTTTTATTAACAGGTTCATTTTTAGTTGCAGCAATTGGTAAAGATTTCATTTGAAAAGAAAACTCGAAAATATTTCTTTTTCGAAAAATTTTAGTTGTGTTTTTTACTCCGTATATTCACAATATTTATTTATTATCAACAATAAGTTTTTTTCAAGGAATTTCTCAAGGAATCACTGATCTGGGTTTGTAGAAAAAATCCAAGAAAAACAAATTTGTTTTTTTCGAAAAAGGATTCTTTGGAAATTTTAGGTGGAACAAGTTTAATGTTAACAATGTGGGCTGATAATGTTGCAGCTCCATTAAATGTTGTTCATTTAGGATATGGTTTTGGTGCTGTTTTTGCTAATTTATTAGTTCGTCCATTTCTTTCGGAAAATGGTCAATCAAATATTCGAATTCCTTATTCAATTGTAGCCATTATTTGTTTTCTAATTACTATTGGTCATTTGGTTTTTGCTATTCGTGAACATCAAATCAAGAAAAAGGCTTTAAAAGATCGTCCAGTAGAATATTCATCAGTTTCCACTACAAAAGAAACGATTGTAGAAAAGGAAATATCTTCATATTCTCCTCGTTCATGTGGAAATGGTTATTTTGGATATGGATTGTCTATGTCAATTATTTGGATCTTTTATATGTTTTTTCTTAGTGGAAATGATCAAACATTTGGGAAATTTTTCTTTGCTTATATTCAAAAATCGAAATTGTCAACATCAAGTGGTGATGCTGTTATTTTTATGATTGTTTATTGGCTTTCATATTCAGTACGTTTTCAAATGTATTTTCATTTTGGAAAAGAAGAAGAAGAAGAACATTTTTTTGTTTAGGTTGGTCGGTTAATTTGTGCAATTATCGTTGTTTTCGTTCCTGTTCACATTTCTTTGTGTGTTTTATGGATATTTGGATTTCTTTTAGCAATAACTTGGTTTATATTTGTTTGGTTAATTGGTCTAACAAGTACAAATTTATTAATTCTTGGTGCATTTACTGGTTTAGTATTTTCACCAACATTTCCATTATCATTTGCATTTATAAATCAAAGATTAAATGTTAATCCATTACTTGTTGGTCTTCTTCTTTGTGGTGCATCATCAGGTGCGATGGTCTTTCAAAAAATAGGAGGATATGTTTTAGATGAACAACCGAATCATTTTCCAACAATTCTAATTACTTGTGTTATTCTTGCGATCATTTGTTTTATTATGGCTTTAATCATTAGTTCAATTCATCAAAGAAAACATCCAATTAAACAAAAAGATAATCCAATTCGAAATGAACAAAACAAACAAATTGAAAGTTATGTTGATCAACAATTATAAAACTCGTCTCGTTTTTTTCTTATTGCACTTTGAATTGTTTCATTGGAAATCGAAGTGAAATGTTTGAAAAGAATATGAGATGTCGCGAAAAGTTTTCTCTAAATAAAAGAATCATTTGAAAAAGAAATGTTCCCTTTTTCTAAAAGATGCTTTAGAAAGTAATGACACGAAAAAAGAAAACATTCAGAAGACATAACGATCAAATGAAACCTGGACAAATTTTCTTTTCTTTTTCCAAACCAATTAAATGTGATTCTATTCATGTCATATACAATCACGGGATTTTCACTGAAGTTCATACTTTATGAAACTGTTTAACCTTTACGTTTCATTTCACAAATTCATTTGACATGAAATCGATTTCGATAAAAAGACTTTTTTTCTTTCTTCATTCAAATGAGAAAAAAGAAAAGAAAAGAAAAACAAAGTTTATTTAGAAAGTACTTCGAATATTTCATCAGAATAGATTCATTTTCAATGTCTGTATAATACCTGTAAATGCCATTAAAAAACATTTCAGGCAAAAATAACTGCAGAAAAAAAGAGAACAAAATGACATTGAAGAAAAATAAGATTTACAGTCAAACAATCTCTTCTTCTTCACTCGTTTTAGAATTCTTTTTTTTCCACAACGATTTTCTTCTTTCGAGAAAAGCCAATTTCGTCACGGTATGATTTGACAGTGTGCACTTAACGAACATTTTGTGATAAAAATCAATGGAAAAACAAAAGATTTCTTGCGTTAAAAGTTTTTTTCTATTAGAAAAGAGATTTCTTTTTCCTTAGGAAAATAAGAACATGAAAAAACACTTTTGTTACTTTTCTTTTTTTTCTGAAAGAAAGAAAAAGAAATACTTCTTTCTGCTGAGATTCAAATTCGAAATAAATACCGATGAAATTCGTTTCTAATCCACAAACATTTGCAGCTCATTTAGATTATGTGGAATTTGCAACTTTTATTAGCTTTCTCATCGATTCTTCTTCTTGCAAATGCATTGTCCATTGAAAGTAAACAATTTACATATTCACTTTGTTCAATATGACTTTCGTTTCATTTTCTTTCAAAGGAAATCCGTATTCACTCGATGAAGATAATCTTATTCATCAACGTTTTCGACGACAACAGGGCGTAACGACAACGACAACGTCGGAATCATTGCAATGCATGTGTCCTTGTGCTTGTACAACAACTTCAAGTAAATTAACAATTTTCAAATTCCTTCTTCTTCATCTTGGAAATAAATGGAGGAAAAATACCTTTTTTGCTCCTTTTTTTCACATATTTTTACTACTAATTCTTGTCTAATCGAGTATTTTTTAGTAGATCAATATTATTGTTTTGTTCGATTTACTTTATAGCGACATCGACAAGTTCAACGTCTTCGTCGACGTCATCAACATCGACATCAACTTCATCGACATCAACATCGACTTCATCGACTTCCACATCCACATCGACATCTTCAACATCAACCACATCAACTTCAACTACATCCACTTCCACTTCAACATCATCAACTTCAACATCATCAACTTCAACTTCAACTTCATCATCAACATCGACATCAACTTCGTCTTCGTCAACATCATCAACATCAACCTCAACATCGTCAACATCGACAACATCAACATCAACTTCCTCGACATCCACATCGACTTCAACATCATCAACGTCATCAACATCATCAACATCATCAAGTTCAACAACAACTTCAACATCGACTTCATCATCATCGACATCCACATCAACTTCTTCGACTTCCACAACATCAACATCAACATCAACTTCGACATCATCGACTTCGACATCGACATCAACTTCGACTAGTTCAACATCATCTAGTTCTTCATCAACGACAACAACTACTACTGAAACAACATCAACTTCATCGACATCAACAACAAGTTCAACATCAACCACATCAACATCAACATCAACTTCGACTTCATCAACTTCAACATCGACTTCATCATCGACTTCGTCTACATCATCAACTTCATCTACATCAACGTCCACATCAACTTCATCCTCATCAACTTCTACAACATCAACTTCAACATCCACATCGACATCCTCGACTTCAACATCGACAACAACTGACACAACATCAACCTCATCTACATCATCAACAACTTCGACTTCATCTTCATCAACAACATCCACATCGACTTCCACGACATCAACTTCCACAAGCACTTCATCGACATCATCAACAACAGCAACCGGTACATCAACAACATCAACTAGTACTGCTTCATCTTCTTCCACATCCACAACTAGTACGACATCAACATCATCAACAAGTTCAACAACATCAACTTCAACTTCAACCACGTCAACGTCAACATCGACTTCAACAACATCGACATCAACAACAAGTACAACAACTGCAACGACAACAACAACTGATACAACGTCATCATCATCTACATCGACCACTTCAACATCGTCATCAACATCATCAACTTCCACTTCTACATCGTCTTCCACATCATCAACATCGACTTCCACTTCTACTTCATCTTCCACGTCATCAACATCAACCTCGACGTCAACTTCATCTTCAACTTCCTCTACATCAACATCGACATCGACAATATCAACATCATCCACATCATCATCAACTTCGACATCCACGTCATCTACATCGACATCATCAGCAACAACTTCAACTTCTTCTACAACTTCAACTTCTACAGTTTCAACATCGACGTCATCAACTTCCTCATCAACAAGTTCAACTTCCTCATCTTCATCATCTACATCAACCACAGCAACAAGCACAAGTTCTACTTCGTCTTCGTCCACTTCGACATCATCAACATCGACGTCAAGTTCGTCAACATCATCATCATCCACGTCATCATCATCAACATCATCATCAACATCGTCAACTTCAACTTCAACTTCAACATCAACAACGACAACAGGAACAACATCAACATCAAGTTCAACTTCCTCAACATCGAGTTCGTCAACTTCATCATCTACATCATCATCTTCAACAAGTACAAGTTCTACTTCCACAACCAGTACAAGTACAACATCAACTAGTAGTAGTAGTACTTCAACAAGTACAACATCTACAACAACAACAACTTGTTTACCAATATGTTTGGAATGGGATTGTTGGATAAATGTTACAGCAACAATTCCATATACAACAAGAGATCCATCTGTTTCAACAACAACATCGTTATCACAATTACAAAAAGAACGTATAGCTTTTTCGAGCACAATGAAAGCATTGGAAGATGAAAATCAACGATTGAAATTAGGATTAGGACTTGGTTTAGGACTTGGTTTATTAGGAACAAGTGCATTAGCAGTTGGAAGTATTGTCTATTTTAAAAGACGGTAAGAGATTTATTCAAAAACGAAATCAAATCGTTTTCTGATATTTTCATTTGATTTTAGTCTTTCAAATTTACAAGATGCGATTTAAATCGAACAATATAAGAAATATTGTTAAAATGATTTACTCAAAGATGTGTTTCATTTTGTTTTGTTAGTTTGAAAAGTTTTTCTCATGTGTGAATAAAAAGATTTGAAATGAATATGCACATTGAAATATTTTACGAACAAAATTCCAGGAAAAGTTTATCGAATGAAATGTAAAATATAAATATAAGACACGACATTGATCGATATTTGAAGAAAATCAATTGATGATTTATTTAATGAAATGAAATGTTTAGTTTGATATGTAATTTCGTGACTATGAAATTCTAGTTGAAATGTATTCGGAATTTAATGAAAAATCTATTGATCAATGTTATTTCTATAGAAAAACAATTGTATATGATCACAGTTTGAAAGAAAGAGATGCTGAGAAATATCATTAAGAATTATTTTTGTATTTCAATAACGAGTCACATGACGAAATTTGAATTTGTCCTCAAACGTCCTTCGAAGAAAAGAATCAATGACCGAAAATTGTGCTCGAAGAAAAAGTATTACTTTTCGACGATTGATGTTTTTCAAATGACGTTCTTATTTTGAAAAATTTGACGAAATATTTAAGGGTGTAACCATTTGACGCCCTCATCGAGTTTTCATTCAGACTGAAAAAATGAAGTTTTGTCCTCTCAATAGAAGAACTCGTTCAATTTCACATTGATTGAACATTTATTTGAAAATAAAATGAAAAACTAAGTTTTTCTCGTGTCATATTTTTTGTTTGAATTTCTTTCCAGTTATGAGAATTTGACCTTCAGTTCGTTGCTAAGATAAACAACAAAGGAAAAAGAAAATGGCATTTTGTATTTTATTTTGACAAATTGAAAAAGTCAAATGGCGAAGACAAATGAAAAGCTATGTGAAAGATTGAAACGAAAAAATGTTATTTGGTATTACAATGATCAAAAAGATGAAGATGAAAATGAGAATTGGATTCCATTAAATGATATTGATAATGAAATTGTTGAAAATGCGTTTTTAAAAAATGAAAAACAAGTTGAACTTGATGATTATTTAATTGATTTAGACAAAATGATTCAAATGGAAAAAGACGATTATTCAAAGAAAAGATTTGTTAAACGATCAATTATTGAAACAAATCATCAATCAATTTCACTTCGTTGTCAACGTTTTTATACAACAGAAAAACCTGTTCAATCTTCTGAAGAAAACAATTCGAAAGAACATTGTTTAATTTCTCAAATACAAAAAGAATTTGGAAATTTGTCAATGAATGAAATATTACACAAAGCATCAAATGGAATTCGTCATGAAGGAATTTTAATTGGAAAAGCAATTGAAGGAGAATGGATTGCAAATCAATTAGAATTAGTTGCAGAAAAATCAATTGATGAAATTGAAAAATGTCTCATTTCTCTTTATACACGAGAAAGTTTTCTTTATCTTTTAATAAATTCTACATTAAGACAAAATGATCAAACAAAATTAGAAACACTTGGACCATTTATTTCTTTACTTTCGTCTACGGATTGTTCATCATCAATGTCTCAATATGGTTATTCTCAAGAATTGTATCGTGGTGCCCAACTTACTGATGAGATTATTGACATTTATCGAAAATCAATTGGACGAATTCGAACATGGAACGCATTTTCATCAACAAGTCAAAATCGAAAGAAAGCTGAATGTTTCGGAAATGTTCTTTTTGTCATTAATCGAGATAAATCTACTCGATATAAATATTCAGGAATGAATGTTTCATCAATTTCACAATATCCTGATGAAGAAGAAGTTTTAATTCGAGCATCAAGGAATTTTCGTGTTGAAAATGTTGAAAAAGATGACAATTCAGGTAAATATTTCATTTATTTATCACTT